TTTTTTGAGACGGAGTTTCGCTCTTGTTGCCCAGGCCGGAGTGCAATGGCACAATCTCGGCTTACTGCAACCTCTGCCTTCTGGGTTCAACAATTCTCCTTCCTCAGCTTCCTGAGTAGCTGGGATTACAGGTGCCTGCCACCACACCCAGCTAATTTTTTGTATTTTTAGTAGAGACGGGGTTTCACCATGTTGGCCAGGCTCGTCTTGAAATCCTGACCTCAGGTAAGCCACTCACCTCAGCTTCCCAAAGTGCTGGGATTACAGGTTTGAGCCACCATGCCTGGCCAGGTGTATATACTTCTAAATTATTTATTTATTTTTGAGACAAGAGTCTTGTTCTGCCACCCAGGCTGGCTGGAGTACAGCGGCCCAATCTTGGCTCACTGCAACCTCCCAACCTCCGCCTCCCGGGTTCAAGTAATTCTTGTGCCTCAGCCTCCCAAAGTAGCTGGGACTACAGGCGTGCACCACCATGCCCAGCTAGTTTTTGTGTATTTTTAGTACAGATGGGGTTTCACCATGTTGGCGAGGCTGGTCTCAAACTCCTTGCCTCGAGGCCTCTCAAAGTGTTGGGATTATAGGCGTGAGCCACTACACCCAGCCACGTGTGTGTATTACATATATACAAACTTTCTCTTTTAAATCCTAGACCATGCAGAATATGCTATTTTGTTCATAACTAGGTTTTTACCAGGAACTGTCCAATTGGATATTAGTTGTAGTGACACTCATAATGAAATAGTCATGCAGAAAAAATTTAAAAATCTATTGTCCTTATACATTCATCACTTCTACAAATATTAAACTCTAAATGGACAAGATGAGTAAGTTGCTGAATAAATAACAATTAATAAAACAGGTTTCTGTTCTCATGGAATTCACACTCGAGTGTGGAATATACCAAACAGATGTTAAGAAATACACACACAAAGAATAATAATTTGTTGTAAGTGCCATGAAAACAAGGTGTAAAGCACTATTAGATTTAGGAAAATAATGTGATTTTAGTTTCATTCTTAAACATATCTTTCTTTGAACAGAGTCAAAGACTAATGATTAGAAATGATTCTGCTCCGGGCGCGGTGGCTCACACCTATAATCCCAGCACTTTGGGAGGCCGAGGCAGGTGGATCACGAGGTCAAGAGATCGAGACCATCCTGGTCAATATGGTGAAATCCCGTCTCTACTAAAAATACAAAAATTAGCTGGGCATGGTGGTGCACGCCTGTAGTCCCAGCTGCTTGGGGGGCTGAGGCAGGGGAATTGCTTGAACCCAAGAGGTGGAGGTTGCTGTGAGCCGAGATTGCGCCATTGCACTCCAGCCTGGGTAACAAGAGTGAAACTCGGTCTCAAAAAAAAAAAAAAAAAAAAAAGATTCTGCTAAAAGATTCTTGAGGCCGGCAAAAGGGCTCATGCCTATAATCCCAACACTTTAGGAAGCTGAGGAGAGAGGATCACCTGAGGCCAGGAGTTTGAGACCAGCCTAGCAAACAGGTCTACAAACAAACAAACAAACAAAAACCCCTAAAACCCAAACCAACTGCTTGAGGCAAGGTATTACAAATTTATAAATTTCTCACAGACAGAAATATGGGTACCAAAATGTATAAACCTAATACAAAACAAATAACAAGACTGTTTTTCAGTATTTAAAAAAGAGGTCAAGTTAATTTGCATTATCTATTCATCCAGTAAACTTGTATACTTACTGTATTGGTATTTCAAGTTTATTCCAGTTCATTTCTTCTTTTGTACTCTAAAATATATTCATTATGTTTTCTGATGAGCTACAAATAGTTAAACAGTTAAAATTAGAAATGTAATCTTCCTGGATATTTATATTTTGTAAGATGAATAAGAATACAAAAAATAAACAACTATTCTGGTTAGAAATAAAAGGCTAAGAGATCCAAGTTCAAAAACTTGTAATGGTATACACTTGATCACCACAATCTGACATACTAAATTTGAGAAGGGAGCCCTTAAAAATTTATTTATTTATTTATTTATTTAGAGATGGAGTTTTGCTCTTGTTGCACAGGCTGGTGTGCAATGGCACAATCTCAGCTCACTGCAACCTCCTTTTCCTGGGTTCAAGCGATTCTCCTGTCTTAATCTCCCCAGTAGCTGGGATTACAGGCACCTGCCACTACGCCTGGCTAATTTTTGTATTTTTAACAGAGACAGAGTTTCACCACATTGGCCAGGTGGGTCTCGAATTCCCGACCTCAGGTGATCCACCCACCTCGGCCTCCCAAAGTGCTGGGATTACAGGTGTGAGCCACTATGCCTGGCCAAAAATTTAAATTCAACTACTGCCAAAAAATTTTTCTCATTTGGTGGGTAATAAATGTAATGAAATGCCTTATCAGGGGTAAATCAACATGACACAGCAGAACTTGGTTATTAAATGGGATCCAGGCTGGTTGGTGGATTCGTGTTATGCTTCTAACGTTAGAAGTGTGATACCTTGATTGAATGACCAACCCCTCCACAAAACTGTATGTGTTTTACTTAGATGTCATGGAGGACAGTCACATTTTTTTAGAACCACTGTCTGACAGAATATGCAACTGGAAAAACGGTTTATATACAATGACATTCATGGCAATCAAAGATCCAAGTTCAATCACTAGTGTTTTCAGCAGTAATCAAGCTTCTTGTTAGAGTAAACCTTAAATTAAGAATGTATAAAATTCATGATAAGCAATATTATTCAAAAAGACGAGTTACTATTAAGTTGTAAGCGACTCAAAATCTCTCATCCCTTTCCTAATCAAAAATCTGAACCACTTTAACAAGAAAATTAAAATATCTAAGACCTGGGGGCCAGTTGAGGAAGCCCTGACCCATTAGATAATAAATAGAATTTTAAATATTAATATAGCAGACAATTTAACTTTAAAAAATAATTTTATCTCTACATAGGCCATGTTTCACAGTGGTCTATAGGATAGTGTGGCTTCTGAAGTCAGGAGAACTGAGTTCAGCAAATTAATTTCTCCAAGTATGTTTCTTATCTGCAACGGGTCAACAATAGTAGGTATCACATAGTGTTGTTGAAATGATTAAATACAAGTTTATGTGTGAAGCACGTGACGTGAAAAAATTTTTAAAAAGGTCGCTACACACTAAGTACAATTTCCAACAGTGTATTTAAACAAACTGATTAAAACCTAACGTTTTGGAAGTCTACTGGGATTCAGTTTGTACAACTTGTACATTGCTGGTTTGTACAACTTTTTACAGCATCTGAAAAAGGTGCCTTCATAGAACTCCAATCAGCCTCAATTCTCATTAATAAAGTATAATTACTATTCAGTAAAACTGCTATTCCTTACAAAATCATGTTAAGAAACAATAATAAATTTCATACTTTTTCAATGTTGCTGAAATCTTAATTTCTTTTTAGTCCTTGGGATTTTCCTTATGGCTAATTATGTTCTCAGCGATTATATAAATATCCTCCTGTTAGGAGAGTTTCACTGCCATACAACGTAACAGCACCAATCTCGCAATGCTACCTCATTCTCCTACTATGTTGGCATAGTCTCATGACATCCGGTAGTAAAGTACTTACATAGACCCACAAGAAGATGCTGGTGCCCACGGACAACACAACTTTCAGCCAGTCAGGTTTGGCATTCGGAGGGTCTCGCGCGTAGAATTTCGACCGCGCTGAAGCTGAAAGGGCAGAGTGTCTGTAAATCTGTAACTTACTGCCTTGTAGGGAAAAAACCCTAATATCTATGTGCGTATTATTGCATTTAACTCTCCCTTCAACTCACCCATCACCCACTTAAACAGTCAAGGAAATAGAGGTTCAGAGAGGTCAACTAACTCGCCCAGGGCCACTGGCAGAATTAGACAGGTCGCACCAGTCCTGCCCGACGCCTTCAAAGACTCATTTAAGGCTTACAGACCCTCAGACGACTCGGGAGTGCTCAAGTAGTGGGCGCCCCGGGGAGGGTGTCTCCTCTCCCTGTCTACGGGACCGAACGTGCAGAGTTGGGAAAGGCAGGGACCCAAAGTCCATTTACAAAGGCCAAGAGTGGTCAGGTCGCACTTAGATAAGTGCTAGAGGCGGGTGATGGGGAGCAGAGTCTCATGTAGGGGACAGGTCTGGGCCCGCTGGCTGGCGAAGGTCACTGCAGGACGAGCCCGGGCCGCTGCCGCCTCCTGCACTCGCGGGCTGGGTCCGTCTTAGGAGGGGTAATTTGAGGGTCCAGTTGGCCTGCAAGAGGAGAGACACTCACAGCGGCTCGGGAGCCTGGCGGGGGCCAGCAGCCGGGAGAGGGGACGCAGCAACGCGGACGGCGCCATCTTGAGTGGCCGGCCTTAGTCTCTCCGGGAGTCGGCGTCAGAACCAGCGCCACCTGGCGGGCGGAAGTGCGGGACTTCGGGGCTCTGCAGCCAAGCTCCGTCGGGGTGTCAACGGGAATCCCAGCACTGCAAGGTTCCCCAGCACCCCGGCCTCAGCCTTCTGTCTAAAAAGTGGAATTAGGAAGAATGTAATTAAAAGAAAAAGAAAGTTTACCTATTCTCTGTCCTCTGGGGTTTTTTCATCCCATCTCCAATGTTACTCATCAAGAGGTTTATTAAAATTTTACTACATGAGCGAGAAAAAGAAAATGAAGTATTGTGCTGAATAATAACTAGCGTTTGGATTGAATTATGTGGTCCAAGGCACGGTGCATTAATGTATCATATGGTTTACATTCATTGTCTTATTTCATTTTCACAATGAGCACATATCATGCCGTGATTATTAGCCTCAATTTACAGATGAAGCTCAAAGACAGCTACTCACCCAAGATGACATATATTTTATAGTTGAAAAATCTCGAAACACTTACTATTTACACTCACTATCATAATGAAGCTTCACAAACCTGTGAAGTAGAATTTCCATATTTTAGAAGTGAAAGTGCCTTGGACAGGCTCAAGATAACACGGCTGGCAGAGGAGAGATACAGTTTGAAGTCTTCTGACCCCAGATCTAGTTATCCTCCTGAGCTCACCTAACAGACTTGGACAACCCTAGACCATAAGATGTAGATCAGCGTTCGAAGCCATTCTGCTTACCACTTTTTAGCTCTATGATTTCTAGGCAAATTACTTAACCTCTCTTTACCTACATTTTACAACTGTAACATAAACCTTATAGGGTTGATGAGAAGCTTAGACAAGTGTCTGGTAGTAGTAAACAATTAATTTGGTTTTGCCTATTAAAGACATTGTTTTAGGCCGGGCGCGGTGGCTCAAGCCTGTAATTCCAGCACTTTGGGAGGCCGAGGCGGGTGGATCACGAGGTCAAGAGATCGAGACCAT